AATATTTGCCATGTGGCAGATCAGCTCCACAGATGTTGAGTGCCAGTGGAGGAAGCCTGGCACTTCCAAAGTAGTCCAGCCGGTGTCTCAACTTTACCAACAGCGAGAGGAGACATACAACCCACTGGCCAGAGACATCGCCAACTGTCAACTGGGGGGTTGTAAACGAGGCCGAAGGGGTGAAGGCTTTTGTGGAGGCTTTTGTGGAGGCCTATCAAGTGACAGTGTTCGAATCGAGTCTGGTCTCTTTGTGAGTGAGTCGGGTGTTTTGGGAGCATCACCCGATGGACTTGTGCAGCCATCTGCCCTGCTGGAGGTGAAGTGTCCACACAGCCAGAGGAACATGACCATCGCGGAGGCAGTCCAGTTACCATCCTTCTGTCTCCGTGAGGAGGGTGGGTCATATATTCTCAAGGAGAATCACACATACTGGCACCAGGTCCAAGGGCAGCTGCATATCACAGACCGGAGTCTCTGCTACTTTGTTGTGTGGACCACGAAGGAGGCGATCATCATCCCCATCCCCAAAGACCCTGCATGGCATGGAAATCTCCTCCTGGAACAATTCTACACCCAGCATATGCTCCCTGTGTTGGCCAGTAGAGAGGAGGACATTTCAATAAACATACTCTTAACACCCTCGGACTCTGCGTTGTGTTCGTATGTGTGATGGGGTGTTATGCAGGGGGGAGGAAAACAGGACACAGCAGATTGGGATTGTGGTGGAGATGCTGAGCAGTTATTTAATTGTTGCATGTAATTATTATTATACTGCGTGCTTCTGAGTTATTCCATCTTTTGCTGTAACATGGATCTGTATGTAACTCTATATTTACTTGTTATCTACCACTCTTCCTTCTACATCATACACCATCATTATACATGATGGTGTATATAGGATATATATATTTGTATACATATCTGTAAATTGTATAATTTTATTTAAACGTCTTTTTGATCTCTCAAACTGAGTAAGATTGACAATAAAGTTGACTTTGAAAAATATATATATTCTTTATGAAAATAGTTGACTGTTGTCAAATGAATCCAAATGAAACGTTGGACTGAACTACAACTACGCCTTAAAATCTCTACGGACTGTTTTTCAGTGGGATGGCAAGTTCCTATCTTTAAACATTTATTAGTTTTTTCTCAGAACAGATTTGATTTTCTGAAGTTAATTTAACTTTGCCGACCATGTAAGGTCATCATTAAAAGGTACAATCAATTTGTTTAGGGTTGACTAAAATAATGAAAAACATTCATTTGGATAATTTACTGACAGAATAAGAAACTCAATGATGCTCTACTCACCTGTTCCCTTTTTATAAAGTGAAACAGTTGAAACGATAGATTTGAGTAAACTTAAAAACAACCTTCTCCAAAAGCTATCAAGGAATATACCGAATACTTGTTTTAGAACTTTATTACATATTTTTATATAAATAGTTTGAATGATCCATAATTGACAGAAGCTTGTGTTTACACTGACCTGTTACTCATATATTAATGTCTGTAACCTCAGTAAACCACTACCTCACTCATTTCTTTCATTCATCACGGTTCAGTAAACTAAGTGATACATGAACCAGTTTAATCATTATAATAACGTAGGATTGCAACTCTTTGAAACTGTAGGTGGCTCTTAAAAGAGCCGTGTGTTTGGGTGTGCTGGTCTCAGGTCAGTCTAAGTCCTCTCTCCGCGGATGCGGCGGGCCAGCTGGATGTCCTTGGGCATGATGGTGACCCTCTTTGCTTGGTTCATCTTACTGGGGGGCAGCTACATGGATGTCGGTGCAGTCCACAATCATTGCGCAGTTGAAGGCAGAATGAATTTATTATTGACTCCGAATGAAGCACAACTTCATGTCATACAATACATTGACCTTATTTGTAATTGTGTAAAAAAATATGAGCATTGATTAGCAAGCAGGACCTGCAGGAACAGAGAACGGTGATGGATGGAGCTGGGAAGAGAGAAGAATAAAGAAAACAGATCAACTTTATTATCGGATATTAAAAATTCAATTTCAAAACAAGTTGCCGCTCCTACAGTTTTCTAGTGTGTAAAGATGATTTCACATGACCTATGCAAAATATCACACTCAATACATGTGTGTGTCTGGGGGGTGCATTGTGCCTTTGATGTATATAAATAATATACCATAACCAAATACTATTACGTACAGTGGAAATCAGGTTGCCAGAGCAGGTCAGTGTGCATGTTCCTCAACGTCTCAGCAGTTACAGGTGAGGTAAAGAAAATAAAAGAGAAAAAGATCAGTAACAACACTTTAAAGTAACAACACTTTGAATAATTATCTCTTCTAACAATTTTCTCTCAATAAGCACACAACGACTGTCTTTCCAACAAACAGATTGACTCACCCTCACTATCATCACAATGAAACACGTCCAGAAGAATGTCATGCAAAGCTCCATGCCTGCCTTCGACTCTCCCTGAACTGCTTCCTTAGCACCCGGTGGAGGGCGCAGTAGGCTACTCTTCAAATGTTTCACGAAATACTTACCATCATGTTTGGTTACTGTTTAACATTTTGGTTTACTTCATGTAATAAAATAATAACTTCATGGTAAGGCTACTAAAAATGACAAGGCTAAGTAATGTAATGCTAACTAACGTGCTCGCTACTCGTCGCTACTAGCTAGGTAGCTAACTTGACTATGTTCCATGCACAACATGTATATTATGATATTACCTGATATGTCTGATCCAGCGACTCCTGGTCCTTTCATCAGACGGGAATCGATAGAAGGAGCAAGTGGTATGATCACTTTTATGACTACAACCTGGTACAAAGCACACAGGCATCTTGTAAAAGTGAATTTATTTTTAGCGATCTATAATTTATTGGAGGGAATAAATCAGTGATGAGATCTTCTTCTTCTTCGCTTTAATTACGAGTCTTATTATAAATCACCGAGCATCACTTACGCGACCCAGAATGGGATTTGGGATTTGTAGTCTTTGTAGTCGCGTATTTTTCATAGTCTTATATTTCAGCAGTTTTACGACAAAATGTGACTTTTTTGACATGGAAATGATTGTTTAAGATTGACAAACATCATGTGTGTAATTCGTGGCACAATTCAAACGGGATCAAAAGATATGTGTTCTCTCTCCATTGAATTCAATGTACATTTTTCGCTTCCGGGGTCCCATGGTCCGGAAGTAGATGGGCGTGACTTCGCCTCTCCATGGATTTCAATTTTCAAATATATCAACTGAAATTGTCAACAAAAACAAAAAATCCCAAACAATGTGTGACAGTTGAATCATGTATTACACAGTAATAGTAGTCTATTACCTTTTAATAGTTTATTTTACAATAATCATATGGAGATACCAACTGAAATGGTTGTTTCACTCCTGCATATGTTTAAAGTGCATTTGGTGAAACTTGATTTAAATTAGCATAGTTTAAAAGCTAACTGATATTAGTCTACATTTAAAAAGAGTATAGTGTTTACATTCAATGTAACCATAATCTGTTATAATAGTGAAGATGTTGGCTGGCATACTCAGTTGAATAATATGTATTTGATGGTTGTAATATCCAGGTCTTTGTGATTTAAAGGCTATGCCATATTAAAAAAATGTGGTGATGATTTGTCATGTTTGCAATCTTTGCTATAATCGATTAAATGTCTATGTTTTTGTTAGAAATATCTGCTTTCAAATGTTTTATTCTTCCCCATTCAGGCTTTAACAGATGGTGGCAACTCCACACATTCCATGATCACAGCAGTAAAAGGTATTTTTACACACTACACAATTCCTCTGATCGTTTGTATTTTTTCTATGAGCAGCGGCGTAAGAGCTTTATGTTAAAGGTCCCATGTCATGCTTTTCCGGTTCTTACCCGTCCCCTTGTGTGTTATGAAGATTTTTCTGCATGTAAACGGTCTGCAGAGTCACAAACCCTTAAAGTACACCCTGTAGCGAGTAAAACTACCTCCCCAAAACGCCTCGTTGGAGATTTCTAATTTTCCAATTTTTTCTTCCTGGCCGTTAAGACGTGTGAACACCCAGTTGCCCCACCCAGAGCCTTGACGTGCATAGAGCTCCGTGAGCGCTGACAGACGAGTTGGAATCTCACAGCGTTTATCAACCTTTTTCTTTCTCAATATCAAGCCACACTTATTGTTTTTACTTCGGCTGTGAGTGTTTGTGTGTGCTCAGGATGAGTTTGGCTGTGTTTAGGTGTGTATCGCCAATCAGAAAACCACACCACCACGTAGCGCACACTGCAGCTCAGACTGCAGCTGGGAGCTTCTCAACGTCCCGACCAATCAGGGCACACTGGGCTCACAGGGAGGGGGGGGGAGCTCCAACAAGGCGTTTAGGACAGAGTGAAATTCAGTGAATACACGTAGTTTAGAGATGCTGTATGAGAAACCAATGTGAGTTTGGAACATTGCACAATATAAATCTATTCTAGTAGACCTCAACAATGGAATTATGATCTGTGGAAATGGCCATGACATGGGCCCTTTAACATCACTAGAATTTGATCACAACAATAGCATGGATGCAATTTAGTCCTCTTCTCACTTTCACTTATTTCATAATACACGTTTTGCATTCTAAATCAGGTAAATACAACACTGTCGTTTCTAAATTGCTGTATATGTGATGTTTGATTATTTTTATTGGTTTGTCGTTCTTGATTTTCAGATTTGCCAAGCAGATCGAAAACCTTCGAAGCAGTGGACCTGTAAGTTCTGCTCATTTTTCATTATCATAACATTTGGCAAATATTATTGTTCTAATTTTTTGATCGACTAATCAATTAGTAAACAAAACGTTGCAGCAATAAATCAAAACAATATTATATTAATTATAGAGGCCTGAAATCTCAGCATACAATATTATATTGTTGTGGGCTAGACGTGTACCCTGCCTTTCTATCTAAGCCATAGTGGTTGCCTGCTTGCACAATTGTTATGATTTAAACTAATGTCTTCCTAATGTGCTGGCTTTCCATCTCCTACCCCACCCCCTTCTCTACTTTTTCAGGTATTTGCCGAATTTAATCGGATTACCAGTCGGAACCTCGAGGCAGACTTCTTTGAGGCTCTGGGCCAGCACACCCCACGTTTCATCCAACTGTTCAAGTCAAAAAAAGGATCGGTGGGACAGAAACTGCAGAGCATCAACTGGCCGGTAAGTAATATAACTTAGCAACTTTTTGTCACATACATTGATGACGATATGGTACTACTTCAAAAGCCTTCTAAAATAATTAAAACAACCCCTCAAAAAGATGGAAAAGGCCAAAATGTTTCATCTTGTGAGTTTGTCATTTAACCTTTATCTTCTTTATCTCTATCATTAGACACCGGACGTGACTGAACAGCGCTCTGTTGTCCTCAAAGGCATTCCGATTGTTCTTGGCGACGACTCCAAGGATTTCTTCAAGACATGCTTTGTAAGTACTTGAACACAAAAAAACTGTTTGGTTTGCATTTATTGAAAAGTCATATCCCCTATTTACACAAACTTGCAACCAAAAGATTTAATTTGGTGTGTTCAAAATACTGTACACTAAATTCCATGACCAGGAGTCTAGATTAGAAATGAGGTGTAAAATAAATGCACGTTCCTAGCTGTATTTGCATCCATAGCATTAGTTTCCTCATACCACATTTACAGAACCTTTTTTGGATATAATGTTACAACGCAGTTTGAGTGTGTACTTCAGCTACATTTTTTAGCAAAGACTTTAATGCAAATGCAACATGAATGTTTTCATAGGAAGACCAACTCTAATAGGTAGCGATGATAGTCTAAATAACGTGCAGGATACAACGAGAGATGAGGCCCTATCATCCGTCACTGTTGGTGTGCTGACTGTTCTCAGCGAAGACAGTCCTCAGGAGGGTCCAAGCTCAATGCAACTCGAGCCCATCTCCACTGACATTGTGCTTGAGGGAGGTATTGTCATGGAAAAGATCAAAAACGTTCCACAGGCCTGTTATATGCTTTGCATTTAGATCACCCAAAATGCATGGCAAATACTCTGAGGTTCGTTCAAACAGTGATGCTTGGACTAGGAACCAAAGCTCTCTCACCTAAACTATTAACTTTGAGAAACGCTCTACTGGATTAGACCTTAGTCAAGATAGTCATCAACTATCAGATAGAACTTGGCACTTAAAAAAGTTGCACCGTTAAATGTTATGACAAAAGTTTGTTACTCTGGGGAAACTGTTATCACTCTGTCAATTGTTGAGAGCAAAGTACAATGTACTCTTCTTCATAGTGGTCATTATATATATATTATTTTTTACAATTGGTGTGTTGTGCACTGCTGTTTTTATTAAGATAAGCGTTTTGAGTACTTAAAAAGCACTGTTTGTTGGCACTTGAAAATAAATGTTATATTGCAATTGAATCAATTTGTGTTTTTAATGCATTATTTTTGGAGATTGTTGGAGTTTACACAACATGTTTAGAGATTTGTTGTGTAGTACAATTATCTTAGTTAGCAGGAATTAGTTTGTTTAATTTAATAGTAAACCTTAGAAATTATGAGTTAGTAGAATTTAAAAGGGTTAAGTTCTCGTGATTTGTATATTTAAGTAGGGTTTAATTTATTCATTGAGTTCACACAAATAAAAAAAAATAGGTTAATGCAAAGCATGCCTTTTAAGTTTACATAACTTAGTTTACATAAGTTTACATAACTTAGTTTACATAAGTTTACATAACTTAGTTTACATAAGTTTACATAACTTAGTTTACATACGTTTACATAACTTAGTTTACATAACTTAAAAGGTTTGTGTCAGCTGTACTTCTCAAAATTAATTGAAGCACACTTAGAATACACAAGTTGTTCATACTCACCATTCTAAGTTAAGTTAACTTACTTATTGTGAGGCAACGAGTTTGCATACTTTTTCTAAGTTACCACAACTTATTAAGTTTTACAGTGTAGCAAGTTTGTTTTTGTCTCCAAACCTTCTGCCCCAATTTAGTCGAAGAGAGCAAACCATGAAACTTAACCACCTTTGTCAAAAATATTTTTACCGCAAATTTGTTCGCCACATTCACATATCAAAGTTCTTGAATCTTTAACTCTGGTTTAAGAGAGACAAAGATACATGTTGGTATTTTAACTACCATCCAAACAAAAGTTAATATCAATAATCTGGTGTAATTGTTTGATCAGAAAGTGACAGATGTCCAGTCCAGCAGGCTTTTCTTCTGCATCAACAAAAACGTTAATGAAGCAATGGTCAGCACAACAAGAACAGCATTGAGGGCTAATGACCTTCACCACAGTTCTTCTAGAGATAGAGCAGAACTGGCAATTCATTGAATGAAAAATCATGTCACTTTTGAAAATTGTAAATTTTTATTTTGTTTGTTGCTGTTTCAATTATTCCATGTTCCAATACCACAAGAGGCTTTTTTCTCATTTGATGGGGTGTGATTCAATTTGTTGCACATGATATGCATTTTGGACAAAGGTGCCTGACAACAGGAAGTTGAAGCGACCTGGTGAAGTGCAAATGACTTTTTTTTTTAAACTTTTTTTTTTTCTTTTTTTTATCAACAAATAGCCAGACAGACAACACAATAGCAGTTGGCAAACAAGTTAGGATGACAACAGTGTGATTTGTGTCCGACAGGATAAAAAACAGAGACAAAACAAAAAATAAATGAATAAAACGAAACAAAAAATGGACTGCGACAGGACAAAAACAAAAAACAAACAAAAACAAAGTCAGGATCTAAAGGCTCTGAGTCCATTATTAATACCATAATGCAATTTAGAGATCAAATAATGTGTATAAATGGAACAAAAAGACCAAGTATATCAAATAAAATAAAAACACAGCACTTGTTGGTGCAAATGACTTTATTCACTCCTCTCCCAGATGCTTGACACGATGATCCAGATGTGTTTAAAAAAAAACCTGAAGAATCAGTTAGTGACAAATGAAAGAAGAGGACGATGGAGGGAAGTGAGTAGTGGGAAGACGGAAAAAAGAGAGAGAGCGGAAACAACATTTAAAAGGAACCAGGTAATAATTTTAGATGTCTACCTGGGGAATCCTTCGTAACGACTTCCACAGATACGACATTCCTCACAGTTTCACCCCTCCATCTTGTTGTTTCCCCCCAACTCGACTACCACCCCTCTCCCAGTCCCTTCTCGCCCCCCCATGACGGGGATGATGTCAGATCCAGTATTTCACAGCCAGGAGCGGGCGATGACATGGACAATTTGGCCTGTGAGTTCTCTCCAGCCTTGGACATGGTGTTACAATTACACGCTCCACTGCAGGTCCGACATGCCAGGGATGGAGGGGTGTGTGTGTGTGTGTGGGAGCTGGGACCTTTTAAATAACTTTCATAGAGTACAGCTCTATCCTGCACACTCGTAAAACCGTATAACACTGATAGATATCCCGAGGTAGGAAGATTACAGGAAACATGCTCATTTTTCCTCCGCAGCACTGAAGTCCAGCTCTCCGCCCCCACTTCCTGTCTAAAGGGCCTCCATCACATGAGCACAGCGCAGAGGAAGGGCTTCTGGAGTGTGTACAATACATCACTCATAACCTGCTACTAATCTGCTTTCCAAACAGAGAGAAACGTAGGCAAAATCCTTTTTCTTTGTTTTTTTTGTTTAGCTTTACAGCCAGTTTGGGTTTCATGGCCGCAGCAGGTGAAAACTTGAGCAGGTTTACAGTCACTCAGGAGAACTGAGAGCTGTGGAGCGGGGACGCTAAAACCCCCGGGTTGGCCTCCAGGAGGGGGCTGGAGGATGGAGGAGTTCAGCCTCTGGGCCAGAGGAACCCAACAGAGATATCTGATATGGAACATCTAAGTGGGTTGAGGGAATCCGTCTTTCTGGATATATAACAAAGCCCGAGCAGGCAGGAAACTTACCCAAGCCTCAGGCAGTTCCTTGGGACATGATAACTACATGAATTAAATGTTATCAGTAGCAGATTATTCAATGATGTCATTTCAATGAGACACAGAAGGGAATCCCATCAGAATTCACAAAGGAAACATCTTTCAAAAGACTTTATTACTACTAAATACTTTTTTTATATGATGCTAATAAGATAACCACATTTACACCTTTTATTTTAAGTCATAGGTTTATGCACTCTTAAGGGTAGGTAATATGGAGGATTTAAGCTCTGACGCTACTATCACAATTATTAACATAACAAAATAGTTCTGACGCCAAATTCTCATTCATTTTTTTATTGTAAAGGGCATCAAAGACAGAAAGCAAAACTCGTTTTTGAAAAACTCGGCAAAAAAGTTAGCATTGAGTGAATATTTTATTTCAGACATATTTATTTCCACATACAGCAGAACCAAAGACAGTTAGTGTGATGTGTTACAACAACAATAACACGCCTTTAGTGTGAAATGGTGTTTGTTTAGGTCTCACAAAGGCTGCAGATTGACTTTGAGTCGACCTTGGCTGTCAGCAGACTGTATATAAGGAGGAAGTGTCGAGCAGGCTGTCATCATGGCAGGAAGTCTCCCCGACTGTAATGTTTGTTCTTTGTGATAACTGATTCAAACATAATTCAGCCCTTCACTGGTCATTTGTGTCACAATGTGGATTTTAACCATTAACATACAATTTAATTTGGCTTTACCTGAAAAATATATTAGCTGGTTCAGTTAATGGGAAAATTGAAAAGTCATTAAAGGTCCCATGTCATGGCCATTTCTACTGATCATGATTCCATTGTTGAGGTCTACGAAAATATATTTATATTGTGCAATTTTCCAAACTCACATTGGTTTCTCAAACAGCATCTCTGTGAAGTATGTGTATTCACTCTCTGTCCTAAACGGCTTGTTGGAGCTCCTGCCGCCCCCCTCCCTGTGAGCCCAGTGTGCTCTGATTGGTCGGGACGTTGCGAGGCTCGCTGCTCAGTGAGCTGGCTTACTGGTGTGGTGTCCGAGTCTGCGATACAGCGGGACAGCGCGAAACTCATCCTGAGCACAAACAAACACTCACAGCCGAAGTCAAAACAATAAGTGTGGCTTGATATTGAGAAAGAAAAAGGTTTATAAACGCTGTGAGAATGGGTCTGCAGAGAGCATTTCTCCGCCATCCCAACTCGTCTATTACCAGCGTTCAGGGAGCTCTATGCAAGTCAATGGGACTCCCTGTTGGTTGAACATTTACGCTAAAGGTACTGGTGTGTGAGGAGCTCCACGGATTGGTCCAAATGAAAAATGAGAAATCTGCAACGAGGCGTTCTGGGGCAGCATAGACAGGTATTTTCTGTGTTGAGTTTTACTCGCTACAGGGTGCACTTTGAGGGTTTGTGACTCTGCAGACCGTTTACATGCAGACAAACCTTCATAACACACAAGGGGACGGGTAATAACCAGAAAAGCATGACATGGGACCTTTAAGTATTTTAAGTCTTTAGGGGTGTTTTCAGGAGAGTAAGGACCACAAGAGGTTCTCATGTCCGACCATGTTTTTATAAAATTCACGACAGACTTTACATTTTTATTTCAACTGCTTTGATTTAGGCGAGTGACCAGAGAAGTATGCAAGTCAACACAAGTACCATTCAATTCTAGCAGAGTTTACTATAATAGCATTGAATTATGAATTTTGATGCAGAAATATATCAGTAAATACTAGTAATGATAAAGGGACTGCATTTTACAACTCCCCAGAGCACTTTATAAGTCAGCATTCAGCCGTTAATACACATTCATACAGAGGCACGGGCTACAATGAAAACATGTTCATATATGATGCATTTCCACCTTATCATAACAGAAAATACATATATCTGATTAGGTTCATTTACCTGTTCTCAAGCTTTTTTACGAAATGGATTCTTCTTAACATTTCCTAACCTTCATATACTTTATGTAAGGCGA